TTGCCTCTGCCCCCCGCCCCCCCGATCATAAATATGGAGTTAAGGGTGCCCAAAACCTGGTTTTTGTTGGTTTTGTTTTAGTATTTCATTACAAAACTAACCAAAGCTCGACTTTAAACACCTTTTTTATGTGTTTCTGATTGGGAAAGCGATTTCGCACATCACTAAATATAGTTCAGCCTTTCGAATGGCGTTACTTGGTCCCTTGAGAACGTTAGCTGAAAATAGACTTCTACCAGCACCCTATAATAAATCAGATTTTTCTATCAATTTTTTTTTCAAATATTGATCTCAAATTGGGAATCAGCATCAAATTTCTCATCTAATGATGCTAGATTTATTGAAATTCAAGAAAAATAAATTTCGATAGTTCTGAGGCCTCCTACAGATACCTGACGCGCCGTGAAAAATGAAAGTCGTTTCTGCACAAAAAAATACACTACTTCGCTCAGAATTTGATGCTGATTCAGAATATGCAACTACTTGTGAACGATATCGTGAACAAAAAACAAAAGGCCTTATCGATACTTGCCCTTTGATAAAACCGCAGGGTACTATCTTAGTAGAAGGCGCGGAGAAACACATTTGTATTAAGATTCTGTCGCCAAAGATGGTACATGTGTATTCGATCAAGAAGAATTGCTTTTGTCATGAACTCATCATCATCACAATCACCAGATTTGTGTTCTCTTGTATTTAAAGCAATTAGTTGAAGTCTAGTTTTCCTTAACTCTTCTGAAAATCATATTTTTACATAGAAGGTTCAAGCTTGATGTTAGCATTTCAAAACTTATTTGGAATGACAGTTATGTTTTGAATGTTGAAAACTACTAACTCCAACAATTTCGTCGTGTTTGGATGAGATTAATGGGAAGTCTGGTACGTTTAGAAAAGAACAATCCATTTACTTCAACTCGATTAGATTATGTGTTTCTGTAAGGAGAAAATATGATTTCATTTTTATTACCTGCATCCTGTGTAACTCCTAGCTGGAGGAATCATGTACCTTTCCGCCCATTACAGCCTTTGATCTACTGAATAAGATCTAGTTAAAGTGAACTCTATCAGGATCAGTACAGCCGTTGCCCCAAGAAATGAAGGATTCTGAATAATATACTAAGTTTTAAGGGTTAGAAAGAATGATACAGTGTGTTTCGGATAACATCTCACTGATACTGACCTCGGACAGCTACTAGAATTTATTTGTTGTGTATTCTCTCGTGAATGCAAAACAGACATGGCTAGCTGTTTTTCTTATATTTTTAACAGCTATTCATTCGGTGTCAAAACATTGCGCTCAGGCGCATGTGAGGCGTGCGTCTCACCTGATTCAGTTTACCTTTCTCTCGCGCTTCTCCACTCTTTCCATTCTCGTTCTACAATAACGCACCATAGCAGTATAGTATCTGCCAACAACTTACATTTCTCCATCGAATTGTTAACATTGAAATGTTTTTTTTCTGGCTGCTTCTCACTGCGTGCAAACATCTCCAAACCTGTCGTTCGCTTCTTCGAACATAGGATGACTTGCGAGTGTTATCAAAGGTAACGATAAAGAAAAGTATATCCAACAAAATTGCAAGACAATCTTTAAAACATATAGTGTTCGACCAACACATCAGCAAGCAAGCAACTGTGAGATAATCGAACGATACGACGTGTACTTTTGTTTTTCAGCTCGTACTTCTACGCCTTGATTCCAACCTCCTGACAGTCATTAACGGATGGCAAGCAGCACAAGAAACTCCACTGAAAGTGCGCATGGCTCGTCGCTTTCTCAGTTTTTTACCACTCTTGCAGTCTCTGGGGCAATCGCTGCTATCGAAATCATCATGTTCGTCATTATTAGAACCATGTTCAAACGTATCTATGAACCGAAAACATACATTGGAGACGAAAACCGACGCGTCAAGCCTTTGCCACGTACACTTTGTGGTTGGCTACCTGCCTTGTTGAGAATGCCACAGGAAGATCTTATTCGCACCTCTGGTCTCGATGCCTACTTTTTTGCACGCTACATCTATGTTCATGGCTTCTTCTTTCTGAGTTCATTCGTCCTTTTAGCAATCGTTTTATTCCCTATCTACGTCGTTGATGGAAAAGGTGAATCATATGGTAAAAATGGTTTTGATATATTGACTTTTGGTAATATTTCGCCGCGTTATTCCTCTCGTTATGCAGCTCCATTGGTAGTTGCTTATGTTTTCATCGGTGCATTTCTCTACATTTTATACGCAGAAATGAAAGATTTCGTAGAAAAACGCCAAGCATTTCTGAGATGTCCTGCATATCAGTCCCGCGCCAGTGCAACAACTATTCTCGTTACTGGAATACCTAAGGCATATTTGTCACAAGATGTTATCTTCCGAATCTTTAATCAATTTCCAGGTGGAGTGAGACACATCTGGTTGAATCAAAATCTCAAAGACCTTCCTGATAAAGCAGCTAAGCGCACACAACTCGTGGAAACACTCGAGATTGCCGAATGTAAAATGATTAAAGAAGCATTGAAAAGCGAAGCAAAACATCGAAAAAATGTCAACTTGGAAGTGCGTCCAATAATACTTGACGAAACTGTTGTTGACTTGGAGCAAGACGTCATTTACAAATATATTCCCGAAAACAAACGGCCAACCATGAGGATTGGACCAGTTCCAGTGCTCTCATCCCTATGCATTGGCAGAAAGGTCGATACAATTACATACTGCAAGGAAACTATTTCCCAACTCAATACTGAGATCGAGACGGCGAAAACAACTCGAAACGAGTATGCAAACATGAATTCCGCATTCATTCAATTCAATAAACAGATAGCAGCTCACATGACCGCTCAAAGTGTTGCAGCTTCTCTTCCCTTAGCAATGACACCTTGCTACAACGATGTGAAGCCAGCGAATATCGTTTGGTCCAATTTGAATCTGACCTACTATGAGAAGAAATTCAGAGAACTCACCATGTTGGCTGCAACTACGGCTCTCATTGTGTTTTGGTCAATTCCTGTTGCCTTTGTGGGTGTTCTCTCAAACCTAACGTACCTCACAAACAAGCTGACATTTCTCCGGTTCATTTACAACTTACCGAGCGCTTTTCAAGGTCTAATTACAGGCCTCTTACCATCTGTTCTCTTAGCTATATTAATGGCATTACTTCCTATCGTGTTAACATTGTTTGCGAAAACGTCTGGAATTCCCACTACAGATGCAATTGATCGTTATGTGCAGGGATCTTACTTTGTTTTTCAAGTCGTTCATGTCTTTCTAGTCGTTACTATTTCAAGTAGTGTTTCGAGCGTCGTAACAACTATCCTTGAAAGCCCATCTAGTGCTGCAACAATACTTGCTGCAAATATTCCAACGGCAAGCAATTTTTTCTTCAGCTTTCTGACGTTACAAGGATTCAGTATGGCATCTGGTGTTTTGTTGCAAATTGCTACACTTATCTTATTTTATCTGCTGGGAACATTATTCGACAATACACCACGGAAAAAGTGGAAACGGCACTTTACACTCAATAGTCTCAATTGGGGAACAATATTTCCTGTTTTCACAAACTTTGTCGTAATCAGTCTAGTTTACTCGATCATCGCACCTCTGGTGCTACTCATTTCTGGATTCGCATTCAGCTTGTTTTACATTGCCTACACTTATATATTGTTTTACGTTGCAGATTTTCCAAACGATACTGGTGGGCTTGCATTTCCAAGAGCAATTTATCAGTCATTTACGGGTATTTATCTCATGGAAATTATGCTTACTGGGCTATTTTTCATGGCACGCAACGAATCTGGTTCGCAACTGGCTATTCCTGAAGGTATACTAATGTGTGTGTTGATTGCGATCACGATTGGCGTTCAATTTATGATGAGCTCAAGCTTTGATGCTCTGACACGCTACTTGCCTGTTGATGCAGAGGAATTCCCGCTACTAGAAATTCCTGTTTCTAGAAAACTTGCATTAGCGAAGATAGTAACTCGTGTTTTGAGCCCTCCTGGAACGACTAGTGGTACTGACACAGCCAGCAATATAAATGATGCTGTGAATGAATCGTGCGATAATACAATAGAGAACGCATACATGCACCCGGTGATGCGGGATCCCAAATCAATCATCTGGATTCCACAAGATAATTTGGGTATTGCAGCAGATGAGGTACAGAGAACTCGAGCTTCCGGATTGGATATTTCTATGTCAAGTGAAGGAGCGCGATTCAATGAAAAGAAGCAAATCGAGATCGATGGTCCACCTCCAGATTATGTGGGCACAACAGAATAATACAACGATCGAACTCTGCTTTAGAAAGATGAATTGTAGAACGAATGATTACAGTTACTGTTTGCGATAGTTTCAGTTACTTATGTTATATAATGTTTTTAATACACGATCCATGAAAGTGCTACAGAAATTCTTCTAAACTGAAACTGAATCTTTAGCCGGAAAGTCTGTGCAAAATGAACGAAAAATTGTTAGGAAGCAATAAATCCATATGTTGTTATCTGTCACTTTTTGTCCATTCTTTCCTATTTTGTAATTTTCCTCTTGTTTTTACGTCATATATGCTTTTTTTTGCCTTATAATTGACTCTTTCTCTATGTATGCTCGGTTCCGTATTTTTCTTAACGTGCTCGGATATTATGCCCATGCTATTGTTCACCAACCGATAAATACTTGTGAATATATTACAATAAATGAGATGATGACTATACATGTGTATCGAAAACAATCATCTTTGGCCTTTACACGATAGAAGGAACATTTTTCCAATTAGAATAACTTCACAAAATGCAAGTTTTAGGCTCTTTTCAATTGAGACCTTTGGAAGTATGCATCTTTCATTAACAGTCCCACAAAAACGGGAGTAGAAAGTGTGAATTTTTGAATTTTCTTTTTTGAAGAAGAATCATTCGGGGTGCGGGACATGGGCATGAGTGTGAATAGCAAGGAAACTCAAGCCTACATCCCACACCCACCTCCACTCTCGGTTCGAAAAATTTCTTGTGAAACTTAATCTTCTTTGAGAAAAGCTGCAATGATATCTTTTTCTAAACAAACATCACGTACAGCATGAGCTGTTTTTCCATTTTCTTTTCTTGAATGTACTAAAATCAGTATCTAGAATAAATTCATATCCAACAATAGGAGATCACTAAACAGAATAGCAAAATATCTTACTTTATTTTTTCCAGCATGTTTCATAACTTTATTGTAAACAAGATCTTTCATCATTCGAAAACGTTTAATAGCTGTTTTTCCAGTTATACCAATATATTGTTGTTCAAGTAGTACAAGTCTATTACTATTATCAAAATGAAATAAACCTTCATGTTTAACATTAAGAAATGTTACTATATATTCATAATTTGGTAACGTTGTACTTAAGAGCCATTCCATATAAGCCACGACCGATCTACCAGAGACCTGCTCAATCGATGTCGTCAGTTCTTGCTCAATTTAATATATGCTATAGAGGGAAGTATTCTAAGAATTTTGACGCAAGCCGTTTCAAAAAATATTGATCCTTCGATTTTTAATGAGCATTTTACTAAAAGCCCTAAAAACGACCCATCCCAAAAATGGGGGTCTTGATGCAATGATATCTCATGAATAGCTCAACAGATTGAGCTGATATTTTTTGTAGATATATATATCAGTGAGTTGTATTAGCGAAAATTTTTTTATTAAGAAATATTGAACCATTAGGATTTTATGAACCACACAAAATACGAAAAAATCCTGATTTTTGGTAAGTTTTGTGTTTCATAACTTTTGATTGGAATGACATGGAAGTCTGAAATTTGCAGCATAGATAGAGCACTGCAAGATATATGTCTTCTAAAATTTTCAGCTGTCCATATGGTTCCGTTCACTCAGGGAAGTCCTCTGAAAAACCGGTTTTTGGTAAAAATGAGGCTTTTCTGGTTTCGAGTTCTCCCAAGAAATGGATCGCCTGGGAAGTTGGCATTTAGAAGTTTGAAGTACTCTCTTAGGGCTACAAGCCCATGAAAAAATTAGCGTGGGATCTCTAGAAATGGCTTGCACCGGAGGTCATCTTTGGGAGGTGTATCTAAGATGGTAGGCCTTTTTTTGAGATAGGGTATGTAAATGTCGATCCCGNAAAAATTTAATTGTTTTCAATAAGCTTTATAAGTTTAATAATTTCATAATTAACCGAAAATTAAAAACATTTTAACTCTGTTTAAATTTGATTTATTTATGTTCGCAAATGAGAAGTAGCCTTTTATGATATCGACAAGTATAAAGGTTTTTTTAAAATTAGGTATATGTTTGTTTGAAAACAAAATTGGATTAAACAGATATAAGATGTAGTTGTTAGTTGACTAAATGTACAAAAATTTTTCATATTCATTCAACATTTTTCAGAATTTCTGAGTTTATCATTAACTTTAACAAAAAACTTAAGGGAACGTTTATTCCTTACCCAAAAACAAAAAAAATTTTTTTTTTCGATTTCGAGACTTTTATTTCTTTAGTAATTCTATGAATGTTTGTTAGAAACAGCTCTTTATATTCATATTTGATATGCAGTAAATGATAATTTAAAATGAGCAAAAGATACTGAAAAAAAAAACGAAATTTTACTTTGTTTTACTCAAAATCAATTTTTGAACAAAAAACATCAAGTCGCGCCCCTCCCTTATTTTTCTCCTACATGCAGGTTATATAAATAAAAATTTTTATATTGATTATAATCTGTAAATACTATACCAAAATCTATTTCAACTTATTTCTTTCAATAAAAGATATGAAAAGAAAACATGAGCATGAATATATTGATATTAGGAGAGTAAAATTTGTTACTGTTTTGATTTCTTTTCATTATTAACATTCAAAATATAGAATTTTAATTTTTTATTTATTAACGAATGTGAATATCAAAATTTTCATATAAATAAAAGATCAAACATTACATTCTATTGACTGAGATATCTGATTATATTTTACATTTCTAGATTATTGTATTTGGTATGTTTTTCTCCATTTCAAATTCTTGAAGCATAATGACAATATTGACTGTCTCATGATTTATTTATTTTTCATTCGTTTGTTTGAAAGAATTATGATGCCCGTTGAATTGTTTAAGTAATCTCTTTGCTATTTATCATTTTGAAAAATAAATACATTAGCAACAATGATCTGGCGATGCTATTAGGGCGTATTGTTTTTTTGCTTTTGTGTTTTATTTCTTTCAAGTCGTTCCTTTTAAAAAATATACTTGAGAAATTTAAAGTACAGACAAAGATAGGAAAGAAGCAAAACATAATTCTTTAATTTGTGTTTTGTTACAGAACAAAAAAAGGTAAGAGAAAACAGATACTTGTGATAATTTAAAATGAAATATGTTCAACTAAACTTGTTCATATATAATATTTTTCGAAGAGTACACGCGAGTTATTGAATAGATTACAGAAAGTCCTGCACGAGTAAAATGTTTCGGTATCCGGATCGCACTGATATTTTTTTATGTAAACTCGAGCCCAAACCGAAGCTAACTGACATTCGGCAGACACATTACGTTTTTGAAACTTTTTTTTTTATATGAAAAAGTATACTAGTTATTTCGTTTCTTCTATGAACAACAACAAAAAGATGAGATCATCTCAAAAGTAAGTCATTCAGAATTTACTTGGTATCTTTCTGCGTTTAAAATTCGATCAATTTCATTAAGAATACGTTTGCTTGTACTTGTTGAAACTGAAATGGAACACAGTATTGATGCCAAACATCATAATTGTTGATATATATATATGTATATGAGTGATCTTTTTCCATCATGATAATATGTGCTCATATTTTTTGATAATTCATTCTTTTCTCCATGAATTCAATGACTGCATCATATAATTCATCAGCGTTTGTAGGTAAATTTTTATAGAAAAACTGAATTCTTCTAGTAAAACAATATCATTTTTACTTCTGTGATCTATTATGTACCAACCATATAGGCTGTTATTTGTTGTATTTCAAGTTTGATTATTTATTAATGATGATGCCAAAGAAAATAGTCATTAACTAAATGACTTAATATAATAGGAACAAGTGTGATGTCCTCTGACAAAATATACTATGGCATATAATTAGGAATTGGCTTTCTTGAGTTGAAACCGATCTATTGAAAACTGAAAGTATTAGTTTAATAAGTAAATTACAAAAGAACTTGACAAAAAAAGAGAAATAACTCGTTCGAACCATCAATTTTAATGAAAAATTGCCGAGGTGGGTCCCTACTGAACAGTAGAAAAAATATTATATTTGATTTTTCTGTGAGCATCATCATATAAAAAATTGCATAAGTGTCAAAAGCCTAGAAAGATTAACTATCTCAGCAACCTTGAAATTTTTTAAAGTCATTAATAATCATTGTTTACAGAATCGGTGGGGATGAGATCAATCACCAGATTTTTATAAACTGCCTGAAGCTAAGGTATAGAGAGTTAAATTTCTATAAGCCTAATAAACGGTACGATTGCCACAGTTCATAATTATTAGCCAGAAATGCTCCTTTTAAAAATCATGATCAATTGTGATGTTCGCTGATAAATTTCCTCGGACATATCAATTAAAAGAACTTTGTATTCAATTTTATAGTCATAATTTGAAACTAGAAATATTAACATCATGCCAACAATTGGTACATTTCATGGTCAACAATATGTTCCAACTCCAATACACCTTCAAGGTGTTCGTGACGGTTTATTTACAGATGGAAAAAGTGACATTTTTTCAAAGAGAGCAGTAAGTTAAACAATTAAATAAAAACATCTATTTTTTCTTCATATTTAATTGCATAGATATCACCTATAATAACAACATCCTCATCAATTCGTACGGAACAGAGATCCCTAATACCAACAACAAAGATACAATCAAATCTACAGACAGCATCTGGAAAGGCAGTGTAAATTATCTGTTTTTTATTATTTTATTTTTATTCCCATTCAATTGTAGATGGTCAACAAAACAGAAAATCATTGTTGGCGTTGTCATAGCTGCTATTGCAATTGCTATTATTATTACAGTCATTGTTTTGAGTGTTCTACTATCACGAAAATCAGGTGAATATTAAAAATATTCAGATAAGTTGCTCATAGATTCTACAAATTGAAACAACATTTAGATCCACTGAATTCACCAGGAGTTATTACAGTCTAGAGACCCACGGTATATATCGAAAAAATGAACTTAAAAGCGTTGAATCACTTCAAGGAGACTAGCCCACATGTACCAGCATGTTTTCAATGTAATTCTGTATATAGATAAATGACTTCAAGCTAATAAGAAGTCTAAGAGAAAATCTGCTCGTAATGCTTTTCATTCATTAAGTGAAAAGATATGTTGTCTTAAAAGTTTTTATATCGATTAAATCAAAGAATGAATGTCTGAAATTATTTTTCTAACATTGCTCTAATAGTCACTGGATAGTACGAATATACTGAAGCCTTCAAATAATCTCTATGTTGACTACATGAAAATTTCAGCTATTCATTCTTTGATTTGATTAACATAAAAGAGTTTAAAGTAATATATATCTTCACTTAGTACCTACAAACATGTATAATTTAACAGAAAGCACCAAGAACAAATATTCTCTTAGACTTTTTATTAGTCTAATATCCCTTATTTATAAACGAAATATTATTGCAAACAGGGTTGTACATTTGGGATAGTTCTCTTGTTAGTAAGACACGAATACACGGTGTACAGTAAATAGCTTATTAATAAATTTGATGACAATACACTAAAATCACTTCGTTGCATTAGTTTTTTTTTTTTTATTAAAGAGATTTTTCAAACAACAAGACTTGACTTATCGAATTGTTTTTAAGTATATATATGAAAAAATTTTCTTATCAAACAACGAAAACCAGATTATTTATTTGTCTATGCCTACCGATGAAAATGGCTGTCAAGTGTGATTTTCTTGTGAGAATTTTTTCATAGTTATGAGCACTCTTTTGCATAATCAATTAAAATTTTTGTCTATAGAGAAAATATGAAAAAAGAAGACGAGGCTTTAGTCTTTCTTAAATTCTGTTAAAATGAACCAATTATAGTTATTATCTTTTCTGTTGTATTCATTTTTGTAGGCGAACACGCGTTTCTTTCATCCATTATAAATGACTAAAATTGATCGATGAATTCATCAATTTATTACGCCATCTTAAGTTTCAAGGTTACCACTAGAGAAATTGATATTAAACGTCCCAGATCAAAAACATTACACTAGACTCCAGGTATCTATCAAGTGAGCAACTCTGATCCTAGTTTCGTTATACAATGAGTTAGATCTTGATGAAATTCGAAAAGCTCTGAAAATATTTCAGACGAATAAGTTTTACTTGTGAAGTTATGCTATTTGGATTAGAAATTCTAAGAATTTCAGTTAGTACGAATAGTTCCATGTTAAGATACAAGTACTCACGGTCATCTACTCGTCGCAAAAAAAAAAGATTCTAAATAAATTTTCAAAAACCATGAAATTTATTTTGAAAAAATTTCATATAAATATATCTAACTATAATTTCTGCTATAGATATTCCTATGATCTATACTTTTAGTGAAACTCTCATTCACTCAGAAAGAAATACTATGGATAAAATTTCTATCAGAAGTTTTTGCATTTAATTAACATTCACTTTTAATGATACTTCGAAATTATAATCGATCACAAGATTAAAGCAACTTGCATGTTAGTAGTAGTTTTGCTATCTAGAATGTTCTATTCATCTGTTTTTTTTTCTTGATTCCAATCAACAATTCATACGAATGTTCGGCATGCAGAGAATTATTTTTCCCAAGAGATTAACTATATTTACTAGTAAATATTTTCTATTATAAGTTGATCTATGCAAATACTATCATTTAATTCAAGGTCCTTGAATTTAAGTTGATGTCTACGATTTTTTTTTTATTTTAGATGCGACGACAACAACAGCTACTACTACACAAACAACAGCTGTTACTATTGCATATTGGTCTTTTGATTCTATAACAACAGATTTCTACAATGTTTATAATGGAGTATTGATGAATAGTGCACCATTTTTTTCTAATACAACTACTCAACCATATGTTGGTATTGGTGGAGGTCTGAGTTTAACAGCATCATCAAGTCAATATTTTTCTGTTTCAAGTCCATTTCTTGATCTCACTTATAAAAGTTTTACAATTGAAACTTGGATTTATCCATCAATTAGTAGTACTGCAGATTATGGTATATTCGGTCAATGTCAATGTTCATCATGTCCTAATCAATGTTTATATTTTATTATTCGATCATATCGTTTATATGTTAGTTTTATGAATAATGATTTAAGTGGTAGTACAATATTGACAAGTAATACTTGGTATCATATTGCTTTTGTTTATAATTATAATACACGACAACAAATCTTATATATTAATGGATATCAAGATGCTATTAAATCTAATTCAAATTCATATCAAGGAACTAATGGATCAATTTTGATTGGTGCAGCTCTAGTTTATTTAACAACAAGTTATTATAGTGGTCTTATTGATAATGTCAAAATAACAACAAGAGCAAAGTCTGCAACAGAAATATTGAATGTTGCATCTTTAACAGCTTATTTTTCATTTGATCAATTGAACCCTACTGATGATAGTGGTCCATTAGAATTGAATGGAATAGCAACTAATATAGCACTTGTCGATGGACGTGTTAATGAAGCAATGCGTTTTTCTGGTTCATCATCTTATTTTTATGCATATGGTTTTTTTCAAATTGGACAAAGTGTTATTTCAAGCAAACCATTTTCAGTTTCTTTATGGATTAATCCATCATCTACTGCTAGTTGTACTCTAGTTCAAACCATTGGTGTCCTAAATAGTTCTCCATGCCATAACTTACTTGGTTTCTATTCAGCTGTTGGTTCAACAATGCAAATTCTCGTACAAGGATATGGTTGGCCATTAATCTATGGTCCTTTTGTTACAGTGAACACATGGACACACATTTCAGTGACATACAGTCAAATAAATGGACTTCGATTATATGTGAATGGAGTGTATTATGGTAGTTCTGGTAGCTTCACATTTTCGGCTAGTGGCCGTATAATGTATTTAGCATTAGGATATATGTCATCTTGTGGATCAAATATTATTAATGCTGGTTATCAAAGTTTAGTCGATGAAGTATATGTGCATAGTCGTGAAATATCTCAAAGTGAAGTTAGTGCTCTAGCAAATCCATAAGTATTGTTTAATTTAATTTCAAAATTTTATTGATCTTTTATAAAGAGACTTGTTTCCACGAATTTTTTGTAGCATGTATTTTTTTTTTCGTAAGGTGTGTCTTTTTAATTTATGAGTATTTAATGCATTTTCACAAATAGACTTACGTATCGATGTCGTCAGTTTTTTTTTTATCAAAGTCGACGATTCGAACAGTTTACTCATTTTTATCAATTTTTTCATAATTTTTCTATTAAACAACTATTGTCTGTTTTGAAGAGATCTGATATAACTCAAAAACAATTCAATTTCAATATATCACAGTATATTTTGTCACATGCTCAAGTTAAACAGAACGGCTCAAAAGTGGCTACCATTTCCTTGTTTGCTTACGATGCAGTGTAAAAAAATACGACAATACGGTGACTAACGTCATCCGTTACGCTCATCGTTTATGTCTTAGGACAACAACTATTGTTTCAACTGCAAATCTTTTTCACACCCAATCAAGAAAAGTATCTTATAAGTATCATTGTATATATTCTAAAGATGTTTAGTAGATATATATACTTTATTCAATTGTATTTTCTACCATCTCATTTGTTTTTCTCAATTAAACTTCACCAATAGACTTTCTACGATGCATTTCGTCTACAAACTAAATTGCCACTGAACACACAATTGCTAATTTGATTAGATCCATTCAAAAAACTCTAACATAAAACACTTTTTCTATCTTTATTGTTTACTTTAAACATAATGAGTTCACTCAGCAATAATATGATCTTATCATATAAAAATGACTGAAGTAAGTTACTTGTTTTCTATTAAGAACATTAGATCACAGTCAGATGCGTGAGGATTTTCTTCGCCGTTTTAAAAACATAATCTGTGATTTTCAAGGGCAAACTATGATTTTAAGAGAACAGTGAAAGACATTCTTTCGTATACTGCATTTTCTCAAGATTTTTGACGTCACGGCATAAGACAATCCAACTTCTATAGATCTCACATACAGAGCTGAAATCAATTCTAATGACAGTTTATCATCATTAGTTATCTGCAAGACAAGATTATAAGAAAAAAAATACGGTTTTTGGTGATCGAAAAAAAGAAAATATTCTCTATTGGCTTTTCTTGTTTCATGTACCAAATAAACGAAATATTAATGTATGTGAAAAGATAAGGAGGATGTTGTGTTTTACTCTCAATACGACATCTTCAAATACTTTTCCTAATGATTGTGTCTCCAGAGTAATTCGGGCTTTTGATAGATCTCTACACAGCCTATCGAAAGGTAGCTTACAAAGACTTTGCAAATAGTTCAGAAAAGGTCGGCCATCCTTAGTTATCTCCGATAGTTCAGGGTACTAATGAAAAAATTAAGGGTTTAGATAGCTTATAAAGATAGAATAAATGGTCCAATTTCCTGCAGTATAATGTCATCAAATGGTGTAGACGTTTAATTTAGTGCGATTCAAGACTTTATATTATCTACTATTCATGTTTGATCATTATCCGAAATTATCGAACTAGCATACTACTCGATTATATTGAGGTCTATATGAAAAATTATTATTTCGTTCAAGCTTATATATATTTAATATTCTTCTGTTACTCATTACAAATAAAATGAAACAAAGAAAGCAATCGATAACTACTTAGTAATCGTTTTTTTTTAAAATATATTCAATAAATCAAAACTAAAATTATTATCAATCTTTTTTGGCTTAAAACAATGTACGACAGACAAACAAAGAAAAACATGTATAAATTATAAATGAAATCAAAGAATCATCCGTTCACTAAAGATATAAGCGATTGTTTATTATGCTGGATTCTCTTTCTGTTTGCATTCATTTTTATGCATTAGCAAGAGCCGTAACATCAGCTTGTGTAAGTTCACGACTATGTACATATACTTCATCCACCAAACCTTGATAACCAGTATTTGAAATACTAGCTGATGAGCAAGTATACATAAATCCCAATTGTAAATATGTTATATAACCAGAATTAGAAAATGTAAAACTACCAGTATGGCCAATATAGACTCCATTTACATATAAACTAAGCCCATTTGTGAAACTATATGTCACTGAAATATGTGTCCAAGTATTTGTGGTTATATAAGGACCCACTATAATTGGCCAATACATTCCTTGCACAATAATTTGTCCCGTTGTACCGTAGTTTGAAAAAATACCAATTAGATTGTGACATCGAAAAGTTGTTAGATTATAAGAAAATTGAACTATAGTAGAAGCAGTAAGTGCTGTTGGATTTATCCATAAAGAAACTGAAAATGATTTACTCGCATAAACTCCATAAGCAGCTTGAAAAAAACCATATGCATAAAAATAAGACAAGGAACCAGTGAATCGTATTGCTTGATTAACACGACCAGAAACTATTACTGTATTATTTTGTGTTCCATTAACACCATTTGGACCATAATCATTATATGGAGAAGGTACATCAAATGAAAAATAACCAGCTAATGTGGCAGCAGTAAGAATTTCATCAGAAGATTTTGCACGTGTAGTTATTTGTACATTATCAATATAACCATTAAAATAATTTCTTATTGAAAGAACTAGTGTTGAACCAACATCAATTGTTCCATTAGTTCCTTGATAAACACTAGCATCTGATTTAATCGTATCTTGTATTCCATTAACATACAAAATTTGTTGTTTTGTATTATAATTGTAAACAAAAGTAACATAATACCAAAGATTATTGGTAAGAGTTTGCGAACCACTTATATCATTGTGTGTAAAACTAGCAAATAAATGACCTCCGCGAACAAGAAAATATAAACATTGATTAGAACATGTCGTGCATTGACATTGACCAAATATACCATAATCACCAGAATAAACTGTTGTCGAAAAAATCCATGCTTCAATTGTAAAACTTCTATAGGTAAGGTCAAGAAATGGACTTGAAACGCTCATATATTGACTTGATGATGATGATAAATTGAGTCCTTGACCGTAACCAACAAAGGGCTGATTGTTTGCTGTTGAAAAATACGATGCACTGCTTATTAATATACCATTATAAGTGTTCGATGAATCTGATGTCACACCATCAAGAGACCAATAGACAGAAATAACTGTAGAGGCTTCAGTTTTTGCTGTTGTTGTGGTTATGTCTAAAGCAAAGATATTGTACAAACATTTATTAATTATATAGTTCATTGCTTAAAACTTTTTCTAGATGATTTAATAAAAAGACTGATATCGACTAGATTTCTGGACAAAAAGAAAACACGCCCTATGCCGTTTAAATTTGAAAAAAGAATTTGTCTTATGGCAATTTTTTGCTTTGATGACAATCATTTGTACTTTTTTGTAATAGTAAAATGAAAGATCTATTTTGTTTTCCTCTAAATTTGACAAGAGTTTTCAGTGAATCATGTGACAACAGTTTATATTCAAAATTCTTTTCTGTCTTTCGGCAGACAATACGCGTCTTTTAACTATCGCAAACCAATAGACATCACTTTACCTTGTTTTCGTGTAAGTAACACAGCAGGAACTACTGCAATAACGATTACTACGACTACAGCTGAAGCTATAGTGACACCCACAAGAACTTTCTTTCGTGTTGACCATCTGTTAATAAAGAAAAATAACATATTGATAATAATAAAATGGTCAAAGAATATGAATAAATATTTTACTTAGTTGTAGTTGGTATTTCATGTAGATTGTCTATTCTTCGTATTTGTTCTTTTGCCATAAGTTAAATTCACTGTATTCTTAATAGTGAACTCTAAAAACGATTAATACTTTATATTTTAACGATGAAAGAAAGCATATAACTTTGTTTCAAATCTCAAGTTGAAAAACGGCCGAATCACTACCTTCCATTGGTATCGTGGTTTTTTTTATAGCGAGAACGAAGAATAAAAAGAGCGAGACATAAAGAAAGATGTAGACATTTTTTACTATCTATATGAATAACACTTATATGTATGATACTGGCTAAAATTGATCTGAAAATCATTAGAATCCGTTGCCCAAGTCATCATCTTGGATAATGAAATATTCATTAATATAAAATTTATGAACCTATGACACACTAGAAAAAAAGTGTCACTGATGACATTCAGTATGTAGGAATTTTCATTTCTGATTGTGTTCCTGGGAAGAAAAGCTCAAAAGTGATTTTTGTTTCCTAAATAAGAGAATTACATACCGGATTTCCGAGAACTAGGAATTATACCTTAGTTTTTGTTTTTCGCTGTTTTGAATGTGGTTTGCCATTTTTTGGAAAACGTCAGTAGTTTCAGTTTACCAGAAACCCGTAAACACATACTGATTTTCGAAAAGACGCAAAAAAAACTTCTTCAAGTGCCTTCGTGTTCTTTAGACACGGAAACTCTGATACGCTACTCGTACCTATCCCTTTCATCCAGACCATGATTTCTGAGCCTGTCGCAATTTCGGCAGCAGCATCCATTAGATGGCGTTGTGGACACGACGAAGCCCAGGTTCACAATTGGCCCAATGAGCTCTTCTCTAACCTTAATAGCTCATTATAACTTGATTATTATAAGATTAGTGTCTAGATTTTCTGAGAAATATGTACTGTATGATAGTCGCCAGTTGAAAATAATAGGAACAAAAAAGGGTTTCGCATCTTTGAAGTGGCTATTCGATTCGTATTGGATAATCTCATTGAAAGTATGAAAGCGAATGATACATTATTGCTAAACCACTCTTCGAAATAGAAGGCCCCTTTCCCCTATATCAGAAGCTTTCTGTAAAGAAACCGACATAAAAGACGCATTGGAAGTTTCATGGCTTCTATTGTGTCCAGACAATGTTAGTTTTTCTAGCAAAGCTTTCCAACTCTTATTAAATTAGCCTTATTTAGGCACCATCTGCGTATAAAAAATGTTTCTCCAGACGTCAAATACTCATAAATAGAAATAATCTCAAGAAATCACTTTCATCTTTCGTCGTCATCTGAGATCATAGTTACTATTACTCTGCAGTCGCCACTTTGCCTTAGAACAATTATTTGAAAATCATTACAGATTAATAAATTCATATATCTGCTGCTCGTACTATCACGATATGGTGTAAGTGTAGGTATGTGTCTTTTCTTCAAGAACATTCACACCCGCTATATAAATTAAGGATATCATTAATCGAAAATTGAGTTTTTCACATGTTAAATCATTTTATTTGTTTTATTCTAAAACTGTATAATACATTTTATTAATAAATACTTCGTCTAACCATTTCATACTATTTTACATGATTTTTTTATATTCTTATCAAGACACTCATCTACTTTGATTTAAATATCATTATAAAAGTAGCATGAACAAACATATATCAACTGTCACAAGTATACTGAGGGCATTCATAGTTTGCCATGGGCTATGCAGATCAACAAGAACTCGACCTGTTTGAATCTTTGATCTGTATATTAAACATTCTCTCACCGTTTTGTTTTGTATGTACGGCTACGTATAGCTGACTCACTTGTACATACTGACATTATACATTGTTGCAGGTCTTTTTTTTTCTAGATTGCATCTCAATTAGTCATTGTTTAATATCAAGCTGAGAAATCTGTCCATGATCGATAAAGAACTACCTTGAAATGATCTAATCGAGATCACACTAACTCAAGGCACCTACGTCTTACACTCTTCAGTATCCAATATACGCTTTATTCGAATTCAACTGAAGACTAGAAATTATTTACTTTCAAAGAAAAAGTTACGGACGAGACGAATATATTTAAACCATACATTCAGTGTATATCGCAGAGTNCAGGCAAGATTTGATGAACACTGAGAATATTGAGCCAACTCTTGACATGACTGTGCTTTAACTCGAACTAGACAGTAGATACATGAGAATGAGTCATATAGAAATAGTCAACAATACCTAAGATGCTAGAGGAGAGAAAGTTTAGATTAGAGGCACAAAGAGAGAATTATAATCATACCTGAGAAGTATAATAAAGAATAGCATTAATCTGGAATACATCCAATGATGGTCATGTGTGGTTGTCTTTATCCTTCTCTTTCTTCAAAGCATTTACTTTACCAGATAATGGGAATTAGAAACATCTGCTCGATAGATATTTGACTCGCAGTCTCTCGTTAATCTGACTCGAATATGAAAAAAAAATGGATATCGATATAGAATGCTTTTAAACTCGTTCTCATACAGTGCTCGCAGTTACTTGAATTCGAAATATCGCGATATTAAAGTTGAGGAAATATTCATGCTTCCTTCAGAATGAAAAACAATGATGAAAAGTGCTATGCAAAAAAATCGACCGAATTAATTGGCAACAGAGAATTGTAGTTCAGTGCTAATGGCGCCCTCTGGTAACTTCTATTTGTGTCCAGATTTAGTTAGATAAAAGGTTTTTAGTTAGTTTCTCGTCTTCATCTCTTATTCATGACGAGATGCCACCAAACTTATGCAGAACTGGGGGTGGGCGTGAGTGTGGTTGTGCTTGTATTCTCTTCATTCTAACCTACACTCATATCCACACCCTGGGTTATGCTTTGAAGTTAGAAAAAATTGTTTTTGAATTGGAGTAGGTGATTTTACATGATTTACTGTGAGTTTAAGTGAGTTATGTGAGTTAATTTTGATTTTAAGCTGATTTAAATCAGTTGTTTTCTCCCTTGAGTTTCCTTCTGTAGCTGCTTTCATACAGTATACAGATGATTTTTTAAAAATATACTGAAAACGACGATGCTGAATATGTATGAACCCCTCCTATTCATCATACTTCGTTCCTAGCTAATACTTTATTCAGTTGTATCAATATAAGAAAAAATACAATCTAAATCATTCGTACAAAAAATTTACGTAGATTTTGAGGTGTAGATAGATATTTTTGATGTTGTCATAACAGATCGTACCTGGATCTAGATCTCAAATACAGTCATGTCCACACCCAAGAAAATTTTCGACATTCTTTATAAAAGAAAAGGAGTTCGAACAACTACATTTCTAGCAGGTAACAGAAAGAAGTGTCGAACGATTGTGACCAATCTCAGTTGATCAAAATAATTTTACAATTTAAGAATTTTTTCTAAAGAAGATCATTAAACTTATATCAATTGATATTTCACAATCAATATTCAGAGCTAGACTTCAAGAAAACTTGTTTAAAACAATTTCTTCTGGGATTCATTAGATACTGGAGGCAAGTTTTTTTCTTAATCATTTATAAGAAATGATCCATTTATTATATTGATAATGCTCATGAAAGAAGAATTATTCTGAGTGAAAAAAGGGATGTTGCGCAAATTTTAGTGATAGAATGAATGATTATCTAATGAATTATAGAAATAGTCTACTATGCTATACTCCTTGTGACACATTCATTCAAACAATCGACAGTATATCGGAGTGTTTATAATAGACCGTAGTATAGCATCGGCAAGCCAGTAGTCAATTTATATTTTTATAATCCCACAGGCAAATAGTGTTTTTTTTTTTTTCTTCACATAATCAAAAAGACCAGAAGAACATTAAAACTTGTTTTTCAGCTTTGAATCGAATAGAGAAAAAAACCATATGCTTTCATTCACACTGTTTCTTTTCACATTTTTGTTTGAATCAATGCCTCCTACAAATAGAGCGCAAAAATAAAATTGTGTTTTTGATTTGTGTTTAGTATATTAGCGTCGTTGTCCCATAGTAGTCTCTGGTGCCACTTTTTCGTTATATGATAGTTACTTGACCAAATAAAGCAACGTGTTTATGTCACTTCGTGATAGTCAGGAAGTAACAAACACACTAGTCATTGTTTTAAAAAATAAATATACCATTTTACTTCTAATCATAAAAAAATCGCATTATTTTACTCGTCTGAACTAACAACTATTGATCGAACATTCACGTTTTATCAATCACTGTAATATTAGAGAAGTATTTTACATAGAAACACACACACGAATAACCATTCATTAACAAGGCTCGTGAGAAGTAATTTATAAGTCAACATCTGAGTACTTATTACAAATATCAGCTTTTTCCTCGTCATCACTAAATTCAAAAAGTATAGCTGCAGAGAAACGCAAATTAAATCAGACGTTACTGTTTTTCACTCAACGAAGAAAAGTAGAGGATGTGGTTGTGAGTATAAGACGTTTCTTTAGCTATACGCACAATCATGCCCATCTAAGAAATCGATCTATTTTGAATTGCATTCTAACCTGACCATTCAGAAGAAAAATATACAAAAGAATAATCATTCAAACAGTTAAGGAAAATATTCAGGAAGCTTTCTATTCAGATATAGGAAGATTATAAAACGAAAAGAAAACATTCGATGTTGCTGTAGAACGACTAAGAATGCACTTATTCCGATGCCAAATGTAGCTCGCCACGTTTCGATAAATGTAGATTGGCCTTAATGGCCTCTTGTTCATTCTTTTTCTTTTTTCTCATTTAATTTTTATAATTTCCCATTGTTTTTATTATCTCATGCATAGATGAATAAAAAACTGAACTTCTTTTGTGCATGTTTGAACGAAAATCTCAATGTGTATCATCTACTACCATTCTAGGGATTTTTAATGGAATTGCTGTCTTAGAATGATAAAAGTGTTTTTTAGTTTCTTTGTTTTTTGAGTGAATAAGATAAGAATGACATATTAAAGTTTTCTGTGGTCTTCCTTAGTTAAATACGCAGCGTTAAAAAAAATGCAGATGAAAAAAAAGAGAATAATAGCTGTGATATGACTTATTGACATTATGATGAAGGTCGCAAGCGAAATATAATAACGAATAGGTTTGTTTCAAAAAGAAAAAAAAAACAATATCAAAGTGTTCGTGAACATGGCTTCATCTTTATTTTTTCTTATTTGCTGGTTTGCATGTATACTCATATGTTACTATGTGATTCGTCCTATTTCGAATGGATTCATTCGATTTGTTTTAACATTTTTTTCGTGTGCATTCTTAAGTTACATCACTTGTCAAAATCTTCCTCAATTTCATGCAGTCACAATATTAACAGTTGCAGTATGTTGGTTAATGTCAATGCGCTTAATTGCTATGACATTATTTTCAAGAAAAACATCGTTAACATTTCGATCGTTTTTATTGAAAATTCTTTGGATTTATTTTCCACTTGTACCAAAAGAAAAAGCAACAAATCAATGGCCTATTATATTTAGTATAATATTAATCATAGTTAAATTATTAGTAAATCATTGGATTTATCGATGGTCTATTGTATGTGAACTGGGCGTTAATTATGCAAGAATTTTCATGTTTTATTTATCTATAATGACAATATCCTATATTTTTGATACTGAAATGATTGTCGTCCGGATTTTTACTCGAGATAAATATACACTTGAATCATTTACCAATTTTCCAATATTTAGTCTATCATTACAAGAATTCTGGGGTCGAAGATATAACCGAATTGTTCATACGGTTTTAAAAGAATCAGTTTTTGAACCGATTCGAGTAGAATTCTCGTCTTCGACTGTTGGAGCATTGGCAACATTTATTATAAGCGGTCTTCTTCATGTTCATGTATGCCTCGTTGCTTTTGATGATAGCTTATCATCATTTCCAACTTTTATTTTCTTCTTTCTACATGGTATTGCCTGCTGTCTTGAGACAACTGTGAAAATTAAATTTCCTGAACATATCCGATGGATAATAACACAAACATTTCTTCTTATTACGTCACCACTCATGCTTAGACCATTTATAGAAAAAGGATCTCCATTTCTGATGCTTAATCCTCCGCCATTAATCAGCGCTGAATGGATACCAAAATTATCGGTACCTGATTTTTGCCCATAATAAACTATTTTCAAACGTGACTTATACTGTAATGCTCGTTCTCTTATTGAGTCATAGTGCTATTGATCCATTTATAATCGAAAAGACATGTCTAGCAACTGTATTTCAAGGGCGTGAGTGTGGGTATGGGTTGTAGCTACAGACAAGGCTTACAACTAGAGGCACATCCACGCCAACATTCAAAATCACTTTCAGACCCACTTGTCGAGCTGATGTGACTGAACAACTATGCCACACTATAATGAAACTGTTCCATCACTCTGGCTCAATAGAGTGAGGGTGTGGGTGTGGAGTGTGGGTACTTCCATCATTTCTACACCCACATCCACACTCTGTGATCACTCATTTTTTACTTGAAAAATTGTTCTCACATGTACGATTGTCTAGTGTGTAAATTATACGTATGAACTATCAAAATTTCAAACAACATCAATGTTGTTGTGCAAAATACGACGGCTTCATTTGACCGGGAAAACAATTTGAAAGCTAGTTTCTTTTCATTGCATGTGTATTTTAAATGTTATTTATGTAAATAAATGAAACGGCTTTTACCATTCTTTCAGTTTACCACCGTTGAGTTTTTGTTCTCCTCTCTCAATAAATACTATTTATTATTTTTATTTTTCTTATAAACGCTCGATTATTTTCTAATAACGGTTGCGTAGGTATTGGAATGGATATGCGTATGAGTCTACAAATTAAACGAACACTAACATTCAACACTGACTCTGTTTTATCGAAGAGAAGACCCGTTGCAACGCCCTTGATAAAATACGATGATATCGATTGACCGAAATTCGATTGCAATATTTGAGTTTTGAGAAAACCGAGCGTGTCAGTGTGGGTGTCAGTCTTCCATCTACATCCACACTCCACACTCACATCGGCACATCCCATACCCAAACCCAATGTATTTATTGGTAGCGATAGTGATATTCATACGGTTAAGATACGCCATTCGATTGGCTCAGTAGAATGTTGAGACAATTTTGCATATCCAAAAATCGATTTGTTTTTTATATAGTCAGGTACTACCATTTGCATAGAACATTCAGATCGATGTACTGCTACTGAAACAAGGATTGATCTACGAGGGATGTTGTCGATGGAAAAATTTGATAGAATCAAAGAGATCAAACTTACGTTTTTGTATTTAAAGCCGTGCCAGAAATATTGCTTTTTTTCGACATTTTTCATTCGAAATTTCAGGATTATGATTTATATAACAATTATGTGTCAATTGTTTTAGTAATAACAACTAAAAAATGTCACAATTCTTTCATATAAATAGTCATCACATAAATCGTTTGCATCATTCTCTTTCTTATCATAACAGGTGTGGTGTAATCGGCACATTATATTCACTCGAAAACAACAACTGAAAGATGCACGTGGCTGTTCTATTGCTATTTTATTTGCTACCGAGCATCATTTATCGACGAGAAAATCCGAAAATTCCACTTCGTTTTGATCAAGCCATCAGCCGACTCCGTGAGTACCAACATGTCACATACTACGATGTTGAGCGTATTCCATATACGATCACACTTGATGACATGTTCGCATATGCTTCGTCATTGTCGTCATCGTACAGCTATCGCATGAGTTTGTGCACCCAAGACTTTGTGAAACTGATCGAACCAGCAATTCGTCACGATATATGGACACTCAAAGTGCTCGATTCATGGGGCAAACCTTTACCATCAGGTTTACTCGTTGGAAATTTCTTTTGGACAGGCAACTACGACGAATGCATACAACCAATATATTTGCCTGTGAATAAAACGTTCGTAGAACAACCTTTCGATACATTTCATTGTAAGTGTATTCACTTGAAATTAAGCATCTAAATACGTCGTTTGATCATACTCTTCAGGTACACTCTTCCCAGAATCTGAGACAGCACAGATGAATTTAACTGAAAATATCGTTCTTGGTTTGTGTGTACCGGCGTCGTGCGATCGCGAAGCGGTAGCTTCTCTAATTCAAGAATTATTCAAGAGGAGCAATGTCAGTGACGGACAACTTGTCTGTTCGAACGAACAGAAAAATCTATCTATTGGACCAGTGGTCATCTACTTCGTACTTGTGTCACTTGTCATTCTGGTCCTTATCGGCACGGTCATTGATCTGGTACTTGTTGCTCATCATAATTTCATTGCTCGCTTAACTTCACGTATTAGCGAGTCCAATCATCATGTGGACGACGACATAATTGAGAGCCGATCGATCGATCAATCGCACAATTCTCGTTTCTCTTTTCAAGCTCTATTCTCTTCAAAGACTCGTACAAATTTCATAGCGGAATTTTCGGCCGTCCGCACGCTTCACCGTGTATTTATGATGACACGAACGAATGATGATACGTCATTAACCTTCGTGAACGGTATTCGAGTTCTAGCACTAGTCTGGATCATTTGTGGCCATTCGATTCTATACGGTTTCACCTATGCAATCAACATGATCGATGCTCTGATGTGGACGCGCAGCATCGCTTTCCAATTAATAATTAATGCTGTTTTGAATGTTGACACATTGTTCGTTCTAAGTGGCTTCTTGACAGTCATTACTTTGTTCGAAAGGTCGAGAAAGAAAAACTATCATTTCGCCTCATGTTTCTCTACTACATTCATCGATACATTCGTCTTACGCCAGCCTTTTCTCTTGTCATACTTGTCAGCATCAATCTGGTACCGTTTTTGGCCGTGGACCAATGTATCCGATCAAACAAGGCTTTGAAATGGACGGCTGTCGTTATCATTACTGGTAGTCATCCATTCTCTATATCGGTAATTTGGTTAAGCCAGAAGATGCATGTCTACCTGTTTCATGGTATCTTTTCAACGATATGCAATTTCATTGGATTGCACCACTCGCTCTCATTCCATTTGTTATCGGCCGAAAAGTGATAGCTTTCATTATTGCTACTCTTCTTGCTCTCCTCGGTATTGAATCGATTCTGAGCATTCTTCTCTACAACCCAACAATTCCTCTCAATGCTCTAGAAGAATTTTCATCCACAGTAAGGATATGCTTCTTGTTCTAGAATCGCTTTATTACATCATTTAAATAGACCCGTCCAAGTTTCTTCTACGATATCTACATAACTTCATGGTGTCGTATCTCGGCGTATGCCGTTGGACTCATTACCGGTTTCTTTGTCATCAATATTGGTCGCTCGTATCAACTAAATATCTATACAAAAAGAACGGGAACTCTTCTGGCTATTATGCTAGCTTTCATATGTCTTTTCTCTTTATATCCCGATTATATTCGTGTATCCGGTCTCGATCGATTGTGGCTTGTCATTTATCAAACACTTTCACACACATGCTGGTCTTTGGCGATCGGTTGGCTTCTCTTTCTCTGCAGTATCGATCAAGGTGGAATTGTCATTACAATTCTATCATGGCCGATTTGGGCACCTTTAAGTCGTCTCAACTATGCAGCTTATCTCATCCATTCGACCATTATCAATATCACAATTTACAATCAATCAATGCCAGTCTATTATAAAGCACATACTATTGTTAATAGTTTCATTGCCCATCTCATCTTTAGCTATGCTGCTGCCATCGTCATTGTCATATTTTTCGAAACTCCTTTTGTTGTCAATGAAAAAAAAACTATTCAGACGATAATAAATCAAGCTGTTCATGGTGTAAATAAAACTCCATTCTTTCAGAAGATATTAATCGGCTCCCATTTTAACCGTATAGAAGACTTACAACTGTTACATTTACTCTTCAAATGAGATTCATTATTGAAAACATTCGAAATCATTACTAAGAAGTAGGACGTGAATGTGTCAGAGTTGTAACCGGTTCAGCGAAAGCGATTTGGTCCGATCGGCTGGTTCCGGCCGATTTTTACCGGTTTAAAACGACTTGTTAGATATGCTGTTTTTCTTTGATGAAAAATTTGCCAAGAGCAAGTTTAAATATATTTATCAAAATAATAAAACAGTATTGATTCAGCAATTATCAGTTTTATCTTCTTATGTTTGTCTATAAATAGTTTTTATTTCTTTAATCGAATTGTATTTTGCTTTATCAAAAGTATAATCAAAACTATGTTACTTGCGATGAACTTCTCAAGGCATCTCGTTGAGGTTTTGTTAGAAACTAGATTTGAGTCTCAATCGTCGTTCTGAGAGAAACATTAGCTTTTGTAATAAAATTTGAGTGAGAGTGATTCCACACAGACTCTCGAACTTTTTACAGCACATTCAGTCGGTAGCTTCATGGTACGCAAGTTTTGTAGAAGGTGTGGTTGAAAGGAAGATCCATACTCATATTGAACACTGATTATCACCTAAATTCAATGAGGATATATCTCGAACATGAGTTGGTGAAAGGCCATTTTCATTGGTGAATGCCATCTAAACAACAAACGAAGATTGAGAGTTTTCACAGAATCGGTTTTTTAAATTACTCAGTGAAAATCTCGCTTATGAATCGGGGTACTAGTTAGAAATCTGACAAAAATAATTGACTTTGCATGCTTTCCATATCATTTGCATCATCAATCTCTATTAAGGAAAAAAAAACTTACGACAGTCTCATATTGAACTTTAGAAACCGTTTGTCTCTAACTTATGCTTGATAGAAACTTTGAGTCTCAGGCTTACAGTTGCTTACATAATACAATTGCATTGTATCTTCCAAAGAGATTAAACAGATATTTGACTAGCGTAATCTCCAATGAGAAGAAACATTAGTTGAATTGATACTTGAACATGTGTATTCGTTTTTTTTTCTATCGTAAGTCGATGACTCTACGAAAAATGTCATAATCAAGAAGAAAGTTTTGTATTACACTATGGTAATTTAATGTTTTACTTTATTCTATTGATGCAAACCAACTTCCCTTCGATCACAACTCATCGAATCTCTAAACTAGCATAGATTTTTTTACTACCTATGGTTACTGTCGTTGACTCGTCATTGATGAGAGTCCACAAAGACAATAGAGAAAATCAGAACGTTCTCGAACAGAAA